GATTATATTGAAAAAGATAGAAGTCTCTGTGTTCACTTTACCCAAGATTGGTTTTCTTTACCAGCTGTATTATATACTAATAGAATATAATCTGTATCATCTAGTTGTATGCTAAATATAGTGCATACTAATATATATATATATGTCCTCTTCTCTCTCTCTGCCTACGGTTTTACCGGGCAGTTCTGTTTGTGACGATATATATATACAGAGAGAGAGAGAGAGAGAGAGAGAGAGAGAGAGAGAGAGAGAGAGAGAGGTCCCTCTTTGCGAAAAAAGGTCCCTCAGAGAAAAGAGCAAAAAAAAAAAGGGTTATTCGTATATTCTTGCAAAAAGTAATCAATGCTGCCTTGGAAACAGAGTAATCTGAACCAGGACTGAGTAACAGAGTGTAATGTGAGGGACGCTGGACCCAGTTTCCAGCAAGGTGACGCTCTCCACGAATGGAAAGGAACCATTAACAACGGGAAAAGGAAAAGAAGTCCATGAATAAATCTGGATCTCTTTCTTTTTTTCTTTGAGTGGTTCTTTTCTCTCTCTCTCTCTTTCTTTCTTTCTTTCTTTCTTTTTGTTTTTTTTTAGCCCAACCAATTTAATGACCTGTCGAATCTGGACAGGACGACCTTTCAGGCCTTTTTGTTTTTTTTGTCATTTTTGGTATTATGGGGAATCCCTTAGCAGCCACATCCGTGCTCAAGCTTTGAGTGATTCTGAATCTGAAGACCATCCTTCTTTCCCCTGCCTCTTCCTCTTCTTTTTTTCCAAACCATGAAATTTTCATAACATTCAGTCCCAGTCCCCGAGGCTTACTTGGGTCTTCCGAGCCTCTTTTCGCAAAGGTGGAAAAGAACTGCACGCCAAGCTTTGCCAAAGCACTAGTGCGATGGAAGATAGAGTGGAACGGGGGGAATGTGTGATTCCAAGGGGGCTTCATCAGAGACTATCATCTGGTCTTTCACAACTGGTCCAAGTTGGACTTGGCCATCCTGGTCCAGCCCCTCTCAAACTTCCCGGAGCCATTCGTCCCCACTCCCAATGCCTGGTAGAATTGGCCGGGTTTGGTCAGGACTGAGGCCCAAGTGCTGCAGGCTAGGCTCTAGGGTTTTCAGGGGTCACATGAGTTGTTATAGTTATGGGGCATCCAGCAGGATAGAGCTGGATGACTGAAGGGGGCACACTGCAGTCAGTGCAGTGTCCTATCAAGGTAATATCAATCCAGGTCGGATCTGGCGCCCACCAACAGGGTGAAGAGGCACCGACAGTAGTAGCATCTCTTATTAGCCTAAGCAGCCGGCATTTGCCACTTATAGAGACAATGTATCCAACAGGGACGCGGGAGCCATTTTCCAGCAGGTGCAGCTCCCCGCCAATAGATGGAGCCTTCAACACTGGGACCCACGTAAGGGGCAATTCAATCCTCTTACCACTTCATTAAGCGGATCTCCCGAGAATGAAGTTATCTTTTAAAAAAGAAATCAATTTGGCTGCTGCTGCCAGCCATTTTGGTACGGTAGCTCTGTTCATCCGTACTTTTCAGAATGACTCATTTTCGATTCAAACATTTTCCTAGGAACTCAGCCCACTACCGCCGTTTGAAATGGTGCAAGTTAGCTTCTGAACCACATGAGGCAGCTGGTAACAGCTGCTGCCCTTCGATCGTGGGGGGAATATTGAGCACGCTGCACGTCACATTTCTGGCGAAAACAAAAAGAAAACAATTTTTTTTTTTTTTTTTTAAACAAAAGCAATGTAAATCCTAACCCTTAAGCAGCATTGGCCGCGGGAGGGAGGTCAATGGTCCGCTGCGTGCCGGAATCGGGTCGGAGTTTCGGTGCGGGCCGGCGGATGAAGGCGATCGAGGGCGGGTGGGCGTGCGGAGTGGCGCGCGTACCGAATTGTTCGCAGCGCGTCACTAAACAAGAGAGTGCGCCCACAGGCCCGGGTACACGGCGGGCGTCGATGCGGATGAATATCTCGACGTGCCCGCCGTCGGATAGCATTTCCGTGTCGGTTTGTGTCTGGCCCCCTTTTTTATCTTTTGTTTTGTGTTTCGTATTCAAAAAAAAAAAAAAGAATTTGTCGTTTTGTTTCGTATTGTTGTTTTTTACTTATTTTATTTATCTTTTTTCTTTTTTTTTTTAATTATATTTTTCGTTCTGGCGTGTCGTTTTTTTTTTTTTTTTTTCCTTCTGTTTTCGTTTTGTTTCCGAAACAAACAAAACACTTTCCGTTTTGTTTTTTTTTCCCATGAATTTGCATTTCTTTTGCGTTGGTCCGAAAAAAAACAAACAAAAAAAGACAAAAGAAAAAATAAATGACAAAAAAGACAATTTTATTTTGCAATCGTTTTGGGTCGGAACGAAATTTCCGCTAGAACACGGTCAGATGCAGGCACACCAGTGTTTGACGCTCGGTCCGTGGTACGGGCGGTCCGTGGGCATCGCCACACCATTGTCGAAATGTGAGAAAATGTGGTGGGCGCGTCTGGCCATGTTCTAGCGGGAAGTTCATTCTCATTTGCCTGTCTGTCTGTCGCTCTTTTTCTCTCATCACCACACCACAGACTCTTGCTCGCTCTCTCTCTCACACACAGACTCACACACACACACAGACACACAGATGGGACGAAGTTTGTCTGTTTGTCAGTGTGTGTGCATGTGTGTCAGAGAGAGAGAGCGAGCAAGAGATTGTGTGTGTCTGCGCGTGCGTGGGTGTGACAGAGAGTGTGTGAGCAAGAGTCTGTGTGTGTGTGCGCGTGGGTGTGTGGCAGAGGGAGAGTGCGGTCAAGACTCTGCAATCGCCAGTGGCACGAGCCGAGACAAGGGTGCACCGTGTAGCTATGGCGCRCATGTCTTGAAAAAAAAACAAAGGAAAAAAAAAGGAAATGTGTGTGTGTGCGCGTGGGTGTGTGGCAGAGGGAGAGTGCGGTCAAGACTCTGCAA